CCCAACTCGATGAGTTATTCGGGGTTCATTCACTGGGCCCAAGCGTTCTCTAACAGGAACCTTGCCTCGATCTTCATGTAAAGGACCTAGGCGATTCGCCATTGTTTTCTTGCCTTTGGATATGTCCATACTGTCACGGAGCTTCACCGGAGGTGCGGGATTAGAAGGAGCGAGATCTAAACTTGACGAAAGCTGGGAACCAGCTTTGGATCTGGAATCAAGCGAGAGACACGACTGGGGTCTCTTGTCGGGTAGAAGCACTGACTTGGCATTCGGCACCCAACCTGCTTAGATCTTGGTGGCCTTTTGAACACCTCCTTTTTTTGTAATTCTTGTGTTTTATGCACAAGGATCCAGGCATGTGCAAGAAGTACGCGATGCTTCTGGATGCGCACCTCAAGAGTAGAACGGTCCCGTTTGACAAAAACCCATTCGTTAGTAGGTAGTTGGGAGGATGTTCCCGAAGCTTGCTGTGGTGATAGTTTAGCCACTTGACGTCTCCTAGTCTTCAGATCCGCTTGGTAGCAGAGCCCATCCATTTGCTCCAAAGCCTTAGCAAATTGACGGACGAGACGTTGGTGGCACCTCTGACAAGCCCTCTTCGATAAAGTTGGCCCGCCTTCAGCAGTTAACTACTTAATGGAGGCGGTGACTGGATCTGCAGCTTTGGCTTCATCGGACGCCGACGGATCGTGGCGAGGTGCAACTGCAGCAACGGTAGCAAGGAGATCGCCTTCTTGGGTCTTCAAATCTAAAGACCAGTGGATCTTCCGGGAGGAGGATACCTTCCTGCACTTGCGAGGAGAGGCGAATCTGGAGGAAGAGGAGGAGACGTACTCCTTGAATTTCTGTTGGTCTAACTCGTATTCGATTCTTCAGCCACGGGGATCTTGATCATTGGCTGTGGCATGATAACCTTGGCAGTAAGGCTGTTGGCTCCTACTGTGATCGCCAGCTTGTTTGGGGTAAAAGTTAATATTTTTATTGTACAACTTATTACAGCTTTAGTCGTTATAATAAGTTTAAAAGTCTGATCTTTTTATAAGATCTCCCTACACAATAAAATAAAGAAAATTATAACTCTTCTCAAACAAACGTAATAGATATTTATCTACCGTTGCTTGCGTAAGATCTTTGCCTGTGACGGGGACGTTGATATCCGTAGACTACCAAACAATCAGATCGATCCAGAGCTTTGTTGATTCGCGAAGGAATCAAGAAACCGAATCGATTATCTCGGCAACAGCGAGATAACCACTCTTCTCGAGATCGCAGCTAGGTACGATCTCAAGGGAAGGAACCGGGAACTGTAGATCTGACAAACTCTTCTTCTTTATGCCTAAAAACTCGATCTAATCTCCTCCTCTCTTCTGAAATTCGTGCTTCTTCAGTCTTTAATTCAGCAGAGCTTCGCCGACGCTCGAGAATTCCAGATCTCTATAAATGAAGACCCTAGGGCTATATTTATAGGCTTTAGGAGCACTGTTTTCGGATAAGAATGAATGATTTGCTCTTATCCTCGGTTATAACCACTTTATCACGTTCTTGGATGATATTAGATCAGTTAAAACAAATCTAGGTGGTTAACTATCGAAAAACGGCTCAAATCTGCGTAAAACTGCTTTTTAGAGCGTGCGGACACCCACGGTGTCTCGGCCTTGGCCGAGACACTCGCTTTGTCTCCGTTGAGGCTCGGGGCGCTGTTTTGCACGTCCCGTTTGTTTCCACTGTATCTTCGTCACCCGAACTCAGAATTGTGCCATTCAAAGTGCGTATGAAAGCTGACGAGAAGATCTACAAGCTCCCATGGTTGAATCATATGTGGAGTAGATGGGACACGAGGGGCGCTTCATATTTCGTAAGCAAAGCGTAGCTCCCGATCAGTTCGTATCTTCGTTATTCTATAGTTCCGTTGCTTCACACGGTTCGTCGACTTACTTCATGTGTTCATCGACGTCAATTAAGCTTCTGTGACTTGGATAGTGACGTTCATCGTCTTCTCTCTACTTCGAACTACGTGCGAGAGCTCATAGGTAATTTTTGACGCCTACACAAATCATTCAATTGTTTGTTATAAAAATCAAGACCATTGTATATCCTAAGAGTTTTAATTTTATTTCCCGTTTGGTTTTCAATCATAATTTTCTAGTTTTTAAATTTATCAAAAACTTTAGATTTTTATTTCATGAGTAAAACCCAAACTTTCCTAGAATAATCATCAATTATGGAAAGAAAAAATTGGTTCCCTCCATACGTAGGCACACTAGAGGGACCCCACACATCAGCATGCTACACTTAGACTGATTAGGAAAAGAAGAAATAGGAAAACTAACCCTATGTTATTTTTCTAGCACACAAGATTCACAGAAATGGATGGGGGATATTTTTATCACAACCAAAGTGACCTCCTTTATGCAAAATTTCTAATCCTTTATTACTCATGTGACCTAATCTATTATGCTATAAAACAGATTTATCACCTATCACAGAGTTAATAGAATCAAGCACAGGTTCAGCATGACAAACATACAAGTTATTTTATTTTTCAGCAGTAAAAATAACAAGAGAACCTTTCAGAATTTTCATAACCCCTTTACCCCATTTTCCCTCCAAACCATTATTTTTTAGAGATGCACAAGAAATCAAGTTATAACGTAAATCAGGAACATGCCTAACATCCTTCAAAGTAAACACAGAACCAGAAGAAAACCTAAGGCATACATCACCAGTTCCTAAAAACATTGCATTTCTTTTCACTTGCCATTGATACAAAGCCATTCTCTATTTTCTTGTAGTTTGAAAACATGTTTTTAAATGGAGTCATATGAAAAGTACAACCAGAGTCTACTAACCAATCTGATTTACACAAAGAATCAGATAACACAGAGTTCAAATATGCATAATCGCAAAGATTATTAATCATAAAAATTTCACCTATTTTGCCCTCACAGACAACCATATTAGCATGATCATTTTGCTAATTTTTCTTAGGCTTAGGACAATCTTTAATAAAGTGGCCAATTTCATGACAATTATAGCATTTTTTTAACTTTAAACCTAGACTTAGATCTACCCCTTCCATTTTTGAATTTTTTTCTACTTGATTCCCCATTACTAGCATTCTTTTGGTTATTAGACCTATTCTGAGGTCTACCCCTCACATGCATAACCTCACCAGAATTTTTATTGCCCCCCCCCCAGAATAATTTAAGTCTAATTTCTTACTCTTAAGACCATTGACCATAATGTCAAGGGTAATCTCATCTCTATCATATTTAATAGCAGATTTAACATCACTATAAGAGTCAGAAATAATATTTAGAAGGGTAATAGGAGTATAGTTGTCTATATGTTTATCACCGGTTAACTTAATATCTGAAATACGTTTTGTGAAAACATCTTGGTTCTCCTCAATGTCCTTAGACATATCCAATCTGAATTTGAAATTTTTTTCAAGCAAAAACATTTTACTTGGCAAAGAGGTTTCAGTATAAAGTTCTTCAAGTTTATCCCAAATGGTTTTAGCAGATTCCAAAATTCTAACTTTTCTAAGCACAAAATCAGATAAGTTCAAATAAATTGTGGAACATACATTTTCGTTCATTTCTGCCATTTTTTCTTCAGTGTCAGAAGTCAAATAAGTCTAACCAACAGTCCTAAATGACTTTTGTTGAATTAAAATGTATTTTATTTTTTGTTTCCAAATGCTAAAATCAGATTTTCCGTTGAACGGAACCATACCATATTGATTACCAGCAGACATTCTTCACACAGAAAAACAAATAGCAACTAGTACGAACAAATCTGATTTCAATAATTATCCGGCTCGAAAACGTGTGAAGCAACTAGCACGAACAAATGAGAAGAACGATGAACACAAAGTTCTTGTTTCAATCTCTTTGTTCTTTCACATGAGCACAAACAATAACAGAAGAATTTCAAAAAAAAATGCAAATATAGCTGAAAAAATTTCAAATTTTATCAGGCTCAAGGTGTGCGAGGCAACTAGCATGAACAAAATTGGAATAACGATGAGCACGAATCTCGGGTTCAAACCCTTTGTTCTTTCGCACGAGCACAAACTAATTTCAATTTCAGCAATTAAACGCAGCGAAATAAGACCCGAGATTAACCGCAGTGGAAATGAGAAAATTGATATAGCATCAAAAAAAGGGGCGATGCAGACGAGATCAAACAAAGAAGCCACAGGAAAAGTTTTCCGTCCCCTTACCTGAGCGAAACCCTAGGAGAGGGTTTCGACCTTACCTGCTCGCTCGGCGGACCGGCGGGCGCCCAGCGGCGGCGGTTTGAACGACGACAACTCAACGAGGCTCTGATACCACTGTTAAGATCGGTGTCGTTGCTGTTGAGCTCAGAAGCCTGACTCTTTAGTCACTGTTTCCTCAGATTTGCACCACCAAGGACACAAGGGGAACTTACCACAGTTCTTCTCCTTAATCACTCACAAAGGGTGAAGGGGTCACACAAAACAATGGACGAGAAAAGCTCACAGAAGGGGAGAGGATTGCACAAAGCAGAGGAGCACAAAGCTCGGGTTCTTCTTCACCATCACTCGATCCTCTCGCTTTTTCCCTGTTTCCTTTCAACTCTCTCTGTCATTTTATCAAGTGGGCAGCCGACAAGAGAGATGGGCTAAGGTATGAGGGAAAAAGTGGGAGCATACCTACAGGGATGAGAGATGGGACTAAAGAGTTGTGGGGCACTGGCTTTTTAGCAAATGGGCCAGCAAAGCAAAGGACGATGGGCCAACTAATAGCAACACTTAGAATCAGAAATATATAAAATTTTCCTTGTAAATAATTATTGCTATGTCTCTCCTGAAAGATAATTCTGTTTGCATATCTTATAATCTAGAATGACCAAGAAAAAAAAATCATTAGCATCAGATTAGTCACAGAAATGGGAATTGATTGCTATACGTGAGGACTGCTGGAATAGTATATGTTCTTACATATTCTATCTGACTGTTGCCATCACTGTTCCTTTTACAAGCGTTCTTCTTCTTATCATTTTGATCAATTTTCACTTATAACAGATTAATAGATTCCCCAACCCATACATATATAACACACTGAAGAACTTAAATATCATCTCACTACAAACCAAATGATACCCAAGTAGTCTACATCTCACAATTCAAGAAACACCGACTCCTCCCACACCTTTTTTTTATGTGACGAAAAGCAAACATATAGTATCATAACTAGCCAATATAAGTAATCAACGCAAGCACTCCTTTTACATAGCAGACACAGCTTGGAACCTTGGCTCCTTAGGCTGGTACTTCTGCTGGCTATAAATAGTCATATAATCACCAAACACAAATTTAGGATAAACCTCCGAATCCTCAGCCGGAGCAATAGTAGCGCTGAGAGATGGATTATAGAACGACGCTATCGAGCGACGATTTCCATCTCTTTTTGCAAGAACACGATGCCAGGCGCTCTTGTACTTTCCGTTGCTTAACACTTCGATTTGATCACCAGTGTTGATGACAATTGCATTGGACATCGGCTGAACATCTATCCATTCTCCATCTTTGAGGCATTGCAGGCCGCTGACCTCGTCATCCTGGAACAGGAGGATGACGCCACCGGCATCAGTGTGGGCCCGGAGGCCGGTGATCCTGTCAGGTTCTGGGCATGGAGGGTAGTGACTCACCTGTTTATATTTTAGAGAGAAAATATTAGAGAGTTAAATATTGATCAGTTTTAAATCAAATAGCAGACATTCAAACTGCTAACTGCGATCTAGACTGTAGTGGCATCATGTGTGTCATGTCATCAACACACCAGCCAACACGGTGGAGCGACACAACGGTCCTGTATAACTCTTTCAAATATAGCTTCCATTTTGATTTAGTTTATGAAATTACCTTGGTGCCGAAAAAGGGCTGACCATCGGGTGCAAATGCTCGCTTGATGTAGCCTTTCTCGAGGCCTAGGTTCTCATCCATGACTTCCATCATCTTCTCGGCCAGCTTCTTGAGTTCTTGCCTGTACTCTTTCATGGTTTGCCTGCACGTTCAGTATTCCCATAAGAGTCAAAATTTCTGCAAGATTTTGATCCTTTTATACTATGAATCTCAAAAAACATGTGAGATCTATAGTACAGTTGTAGAAGAAAAAAAGTTTATTGGAGAATTGAGTAAAAGGGATAGAGAAAATTGGAGTCTTTTTATCATAGAAAAGGAAAAAAACAGATTTTTTTTAAAACTAGTTGACAATATCTACCGCTCTTACTTGAATTCTGCCGAGTTTGTTGGCCACTCATTATCATCATAGAGGGTGAAAACATCCTCCCAGTCCAAATCCAACTTCTTCTCAGTCCCACCACTCTCCACCAATTCATTCAGCAACTTAACTGGCTCAGAGTCCTTGAACAAAGGCTCCCTCTCCGTCTTGTAGCATTCGGCACACACCTTCTTAACGCGCTCCAGCAGCTCTACAGGTATCCCATGGTTCACAATCTGCAAAAGGTTGTTAGCGGTCGATAATCATATGATTTCAGATACAATACCGGTAATATAACGTACCTGAAAAAATCCCCATTCTTCGCATCCATTAGCAATCTGGGCAAGAGTTTTAGCCCTCTCATCGCCGTCAAGTTTGGAGAAGTCAATGACTGGAATCGCCATATTCGAGAAAGAAGTATTCAAGGTTTAGAGAATAGGAAAGCTTTTGTATTCCAAGGAGTAGTGATGGAGCTGAGGGTGAGGGGTTGGAGGGTTTTTATAATGCATCGGGTATGCATGTCAACCTTTAGTTGAATCGGAGACAGCATCATAATGGATGGTGTGAATTGAGTGAGTTCTAAAATGGGTGAGGATTAAGAATTCCAAAGTCAATTTTGACCAGGTTAGGGTACTTTTTACTTCTTTGGTTGGCTTTGGTTTTGGTCTGTGACTTCGTAAAAATTCTAGTTTTAGAGTTTGAACTTACAATGCATTTATACCTTTCATTTTCTTGTAATTTGTGTATCTACACCATATTTACCTGCAACTCTGCAAACAAGTTGTACTTGTTTATTCCAGATGTTATATATGATTTTATATCAATGAGCACATTCAGTAAATTTATTAGGTCCATCTCTGAAGTATTTTGTTAGAGTTTTGATTTTGGTTCTCATAATTTATATTTTTCTACAGGTGTTAGTATCAGATAAACAAACTGGAAAATTCCTTATTGCAAACTTCCAGATAATTCAATGCGTATATGTAACTCCTTAAAAAAGAAAAAGACGGTCAACACACACCTAATTTCATTCATAAAATGACACACAATTACATCTAAAAATACCATGTAAATATATCATACCAATTAAAATTGGTTAAAGCTGAGATGGGGTATATTATAGATACAAACCCTATCCTTATCTCATTGAGATTGTGTGGTTTCCATTTTATGTGTGATTGCTTAACAAATTTCCATCCCCTTTCTTCTAATACTGTGAATTATGGAGCTCTCTCTCTTTTTTTTTTTTTTTTTTTGGTTTTTCGGTCAACACACACCTAATTTCATTCATAAAATGACACACAATTACATCTAAAAATACCATGTAAATATATCATACCAATTAAAATTGGTTAAAGCTGAGATGGGGTATATTATAGATACAAACCCTATCCTTATCTCATTGAGATTGTGTGGTTTCCATTTTATGTGTGATTGCTTAACAAATTTCCATCCCCTTTCTTCTAATACTGTGAATTATGGAGCTCTCTCTCTTTTTTTTTTTTTTTTTTTGGATTTTACTTTGCTACTCTTGGTAAATGTCTTGATTCATTTGTCTGTTTGTTCATTTTGTCTGGTTCATCTCATTTCCTCGAAAAAGTTGTATACTCTTCTATTCTCATAATAACCACAAATGAGAAACAAGCTGCAGGGTTCCTATTAATTTCCTCTCTGAAAAGACTTACTGGTTGTAGAAAAAGAGAATTCACATTCAAAGTTAGAAAATTCTTGAACTTGCTCCAAGCGTGCACTGACATGTGCGTTTATTTTTAGAGTACTTTGAGGGGGTTATTTTAATTGTCAATATTTCCTTGTCTTTGTATGGAGATATTCTTGTCAAGAGGAAAGAAAATAGTGAAGAAGAACCTGCACGTATCTGTTTGTTTTAGGGAATAAAATTTTCCTGTTCATTTAGTATACTATATCTTGAATTTCTATGGTTGAGGTAGTTGTATACATAGAAGATTCATTAATTTCGTGATGTTGGTTTCTATCTTTATTTATATCATTTGGTTGTGAACAAATAGTTTTATATATAGTAATTACCAATTATTACTATTAACTACTAATGTGTTTGCTTTTACTAGGACACGAACAAAACCAAAACTTCACAAACACCATGCAATAA